ATGTCTCAAGATCCAAATAAACTCTGAAGTGCCTACCGAATAGGTGTTGTCTCCATGTCTGTAGCGCCTCATAGAGTGCATACAACTCTCATACGTTGGATTTGCTGCCTTCTCACACGATAATCTCTTGGACACAAACTCGACGGGATGGTACCTTTTCCCATCGTCTTGTTCTAGGACCGCCCAAATCCCATACTGGCTATCAGTGGTTACTTTGAATCACAGCAACGGATCTGCGAAATTTAACACCAGAAACTCTATTAATGCCTTCTTTAACTTCTTGAAAGCCGACATGCAGTCGTGGCTCCATAGCAAGATTGCATCCTTTTTCAACAATTTCCACAGTGGTGCCACTATCGTACTGAAATTCTGCACGAACTTTCGGTAAAAGTTAGCAAATCCTAGGAATGATCTAAGTTGAGTCAAGTTAGTGGGTATAGGCCAGCCTCTAATTGCTGCAATTTGCTGTCCTCAGACTGCAATCTGCCTCCGTCTACCACATGTTCCAGGTACACCACTCTTTGATTGGCTACCTCACATTTCTTCGGGTTCCACTCGAACTTGCACTCTCTTAGCTTGTCTAGTACTTCAGGCAGATGCTCCTATAGTGTCGAATTGAAGATCAAGATATCATCTAAGTACAGAACCACCAATCGGTCGAGCCATTTTCAAAACATCTCGTTCATGCATCTTTGAAATATTGTAGGGGCATTTGTCAGTCCAAACGGCATCACAATGAATTCATAGTGTCCATACCTAGCCCTGAATTCAGTCTTGGGTTGATCTTCTGGTGCTATCTCAATCTGATGATAACCGGACTTAAGATCTATCTTACAAAGTACTTGCAGCCCTGCAGCCGGTCTAATACATCATTGCTATGTAGTAACGGTTCAGCGTTCTTCACGATGATTGCATTCAAACCACGAGAGTCAACATCGAGTCTGACCTCTCCTTCTTTCTTAGGAACGAATAGAGCGGGTACCCCATAGGGCGACGAGCTAGGCCTAATCCACCCCTTGTCTACTAACTCATACAATCCGCATTCTTCCAATCACGTGGCGACATATGATATATCGGGCTCCTAGGAGCCTTTCTATGCAGCTCAATCTCAATGTGGTGCTTAATGAGTCTCTCCACCACTCGACGGGGTTCCTCCAAATCTGCATACTCATCTAACATTTTTTGCACTTGGGGCAGAATCTTTCCTCCTCGCTCTTTGACCGGCTATCTCCACCTTCCTTCATTCTTTCCTGCGGTCGCAAAAGGCAACATACACTTGGTCCACCTTTCTACTCCTCACTAGGCACCGGGAGAATGCCAGAGCACTCATACGCATATGGAAAGCCAGGATCTCTAGCCGGATGCATGATACAAGCATACTCTCTTCTTGCCGCCTTCTTGACTCAGCAACAAAGCTTCCACCTCACCTAACTTGATGTCTACCTTCACTGCCCTACCAATCTCATTCCAGGAGTATATCAAAGGGCAAGTCCTCTTCCACTAAGAGTGCAGAACTTTCTCCACCATCCCTCACCCCTCCAACCGGAAGTAACCCTTCACTCCTGCCAAATACTGACTTACACTTAAAACCGCCAGTACCTTTCCCTGCTTTTATTCTTTCCCTCCGAGCAAGCGGGAAGGTGCCCCCACAGGGTCGGCATAGCTTCGGGCTAGGGTTGATTTTCAAGCAGGAGTTGCGAGGTAGGCAGTTGTGCCTTACTAGGAAAACGACGAAAATAAAGAAGACAAAAGAAGGTTCTGGAGCGTAGAAAAGACTGTGACTCCTTTCGGGCAGAAAATATATATATACAAAGAGAATTATGGTGGTGTATCGTTCCATGTTCTAGCACAAAATTCCTTCCCAGGTCCAGCCATCCTCCTAGAAAGATCTACACTGCACCTAGCTCCACTACTTTCCACATGCACAAAAGACAAAAAAAGAAATGGCATTGTATCTTTCCATGTTCTAGCAGAGGATTCATTCTCATTTTGCAAGTTTTGTGAGTACTGGAGGGAGGAGCTTCAAGCGGTGAACTGGCGAGCTTTAAAGTAGATATGGAAAGTAGATTCAGCGGTGGAATCTTTTTTTTTTCTTCTTTCTCGGTGACAACTGGCAGACAGCAGGATAGGGGCACCAGTCCACCAGAACACTACGCGCCTCGGTACTGCTCACCGCATGCACAACAGGAAAAAAATTGTGGGGGTGTACCTTTCCATGGAAGATTCATTCACATTTCGCACATTTGGTGAGTCATGGAGAGAGTCCATCAACTTGTTCTTTTTGTTTCATTTTTTTCTCTAAATCTAACACCATTCCTAATTGCTTCTTCACGACCTTACAAGAAATATGACTTCTTGGGGAACCACCATCTATCAGGGCCCCAACTCTAATTCCACTAACTTTTAAGTCTGCTACAACCAACGGTCCACAGTCTGCTACAACTAACAGTCCAATCTCTTTCTTCATCTCAGCCCAGGGTTTGCGAAGAGTGATCAGTTCCTCGCCGATGCCTGTAAGAGAACCACTCGAAGAGACCCTACAACAAGCGGTCCGCACTTAAGAGGCTTGGAGTGGGCGGCTGAGCCAACATCTTCCATGGCCTGGGAACGGGAAGGGGATGTATCCTCCTCGCACGCACTATGTACACTCGCAGTTACAGTAACGGCTGACACTTCCACTGGCCCCCTTCTTTTGCCAGCTGATGCTGTTGCTGCAGCTGCTGCCACATGGGTCAGTAAGGGATGGTATGGCCTGCCATCCCACACTTGAAACATTGGCCGTTTCTCTGCACTGCTGCCACTGACTTTCTACATTTTCAATTGTTTCTAGGGCTCGCCCTGCTCATATCCTGAGTGCAGAGGATACCTACGAGGGCCTCCATAACCTCCTCCTCCTTGCGATGACTGCTGCTTCCATCCTTCCTTTTGCTGTGGTTGGGATCTGTTCCCACCACTGTTGTGGCCCGCCCTTACAGACCATGGCCGTGGCGTACTCCCCTCCCTGATAACCGTCTTCGCAGCAATCACCCATCCCGTCATAGGGCACTGTGCACGTCTTCGCAGCATTGACCTTGACTTCCTACCGGGACGTCAGATTTCCACTTCATGTTACAAATGACCGACAGCAACTTTAGGACTGCCAGCAACTCTCTCAGGACAACGTGGCTTGCGGCAAGGGACCTGTTCCCTTCTTAAGACTGACTGGTCCCTCGCTGAATCGCACGTTTGGTTCACATGCCAGTCAATACCAGTCGGATGATTAGCCAGGTTGTTTAATGAGCGTCCACCACTCGATGCCCGTGCTTGCTACTTTACGCGGTCGCCTTCCAGCTGTTGGGCCCAACCTATCTACAGCATACAACCTCCTGACGACCTGAGCCTAATTAACAACAACAGAGATTGTTGGCAGCACATCCAAGGAGACTGATACTTCCAGATACCAAAAAAAGACTACGCAGCACACAAGGTTGAGGTTGGAAAGCGCTTCACTACGATCCTCCCCTCACCTTTACGACTTCTTCGGTCCTCCCTTTTACTTCCTTGCCACCACCACTCGGGTCAATGCTTGCCAACCTTTCACCAACTCTGCCACCCCCACATGGGTCAATACTCGCCAACCTTTTACCAACCTTGCCACCCCCACTTGGGTCAACGCTCGCCAACCTTTTACCAACTCTGCAACCTTCAGGTCAAACACCGCTCGAAGGACAAAGAGACTCTGCTCTGATACCACTGCAATGAGACCACCAGGCATGAGCACTCGGACACAAATACCGAATTAAAACGCAGTCAAAGATGTCACACGAAGTCCAGAAGAATCTCAATGGTCACACAAACCTGGTCATCTCCTCCGTCACCAGCGGCTATGGCACTCGACTCAGCACGTGGGTAAGTCTCTCTCTCTCTCTCTCTCTCTCTCTCTCTCTCTCTCTCTCTCTCTCTCTCTCTCTCTCTCTGTGCTGTCTCAATTCTCTCTCTCATATCCTACAATCGCCTCACAGGTCATTCTGATCACTCTCTGAATGCGCTCCAGTGAAGTTCTCTCTCTGTCAGACTGCAGCTATGGCACCCAACACCAGTGACTCCACTACTCTATGCTCTCTCTCTCTCTCTCTCTCTCTCTCTCTCTCTCTCTCTCTCTCTCTCTCTCTCTCTCTCTCTCTCTCTCTCTCTGTGCTGTCTCAGTTCTCTCTCTCATATCCTACAATCGCCTCACAGGTCATTCTGATCACTCTCTGAATGCGCTCCAGTGAAGTTCTCTCTCTCTCAGACTGCAGCTATGGCACCCAACACCAGTGACTCCACTACTCTATGCTCTCTCTCTCTCTCTCTCTCTCTCTCTCTCTCTCTCTCTCTCTCTCTCTCTCTCTCTCTCTCTCTCTCTCTCTCTCCCTCCCTCTCCCCTCCCCCCTCCCCCCAATGCACAAGACTGCAGCAGCGCTTTTGCATTGAGTGTGAAGCATATGGTGTCGATGTCCCAGTGCTGCTGGAGTTTTATACTTGCTGATCTGCCTTCCAGTCATCTTCTGCTGGTTATGGGTTGGTCCCCTGGCCTTTGTTTGCTGCTTCTGGAAGCTTACGGACTCTACTTGGATCTGGGTGCTTGGGTGGATCGACTGACGGCTGGCCTAACAACTTGTGATCTTGACTGAATTTTGTGGTGCCTCTTGCTCTTCAACCCATACCTGTGATCTACCAGGGACTAACTAGCCTACCAAGGCTTCTACAATCATGGTACAAACGAAAACTGCTCTTCTAGAGTATTCGTCAATATTCTACAAGTGGCCGGAACCAGCTAATGGAACACTGAACGGGACTCGGGACTGGGACCTGAGACTTGGGAGCACAACATGGGACCCAGGACTGGGACTAGGAGCTGGTATTGGGAGTGGGGACTGAACCAGCAGTAATGAGATTTGTGAATCCTTTCATGCGGATAGAAAGCATTAAAAAACACAGAACAAAAGGGACAAACAGAAAGAAAAGGCAGAATCACTAACGCTGATGTTTCTTGAAGCACAGAACTCTCTCCGCTCATGAACAGTGTGCAGGCAATAGCCAGCACATCCGCTCAGCAGCAGCGCCCACACCTGCATCCAAATGAAAAAGAATGCAAACATTTAGGGAAAGAAATCATTTGTGAGGAGTTGCAAACCGAATAAGAAAAGAGAGCAAAACCAAAAGGACTCAAAAAGGAGGCAAAAAATCCAAGAAATGCAGAAGACCTTGTCGTACAACCACTCTGAACATACCCAGCAGAACTATAACTTAGGCAGGAACTTCATTCTAGGGAAAAAAAAGGGTACGGACTGCATTGACCATCATCCCAAGGGTCTGCAATGTCCCTAGCATCCTTGCAAAGACAGCAAAAGCAAGACCCATAATTCCTCACAACTGCAAGGAGGAAGTTGAAGAGGAGGAAGAACGCAATGGGAACCATGTGCATTGTAAAGTCCTGTGGTGGTTATACCCTGACAGGAATGCTGTTGGGTGCAACTGTCTGCCACTTCTCGTTGTACACAAAAGCATGGTGAATGATTGTTCCATGTGAGCCTTTCAAGTTTCACAAACATCTTATACTTCACACCACAACTTCCTAGAATGGATCTCTCTATAATTGTGGGAAGGTGCATTGTGCAAAAGCTACCAGTGACACGAATGACTCAAAAGCACAGTTGGTCCCCAGATGGACCGGGAGGCCCTCCCCAACCAGGAGCCTGCCAGTCAGACCAAACGGTCCATTGGCCTGGCAGGCCCCCAGTTAACCCCACCGCATCATGGTAGGGGGGGCAGTACCCGGGAATTCTGGGCGTCCCCATGTTCCCCCAGCCTCCCGCAGGCCGTCGCCATCTTGAGTTCGAAAAACCGGGGTTGGCGGACCCTACGTATACGAACAAATGTGTGTCAGACCTCGGCCGCTGATCTTTGCCGATCAGCGGCCAAGATCCACCGTGCATTGTCCAAAAAAGCGGGGTCAACCAGCCCAGGTTTCTCAAATTTGAAACGTGGGCTATTAAGACAGCCGATCTGGCACATCAGCAGCCGAAATCAGTCAGTTTCAAATTCGAACGCAGCCCGAATCAGTGCCCTCTGTGAATCCCCACAACCCCCACTTCGACACCCCTGCCAAATGCCTACGCTTCACACGATCTTGTTGACACCTGGTTCGGTCATGCGGGCATCAACACCTCGGTGCCCACCCCCACGGCAGCACCGAGCATGAACGCCAGCCCACCATCAATCAAAGCCCGCCATCTCCCCATGCCAGCCCGTAATTGAAAAAAGCAACGTAGCTTTTTTCTAATTTGTTGGTTTTTCTTCTTCGTCTTCCTCCTCTTCTTTTTCTCCCGCCTTCTCCCCATACCAGCCCGCAATTGAAAATGGCAACGTAGCTTTTTCTAATTTGGATTTTCTTCTTCGCCTTCCTCCTCTTCTTTTTCTTCTTCTTTTTCTTCTTTTGCTTCTTCTTCTTTCTTGTTCATGTTTTTCCCGTTCTTCTTTTTCTTATTCTTCTTGTTCTTGTTCTTCTTCCTTCCTGATATTTTCCTCGTTCCTCTTTTTTATCCGATTCTGAGAGAGAGACAGAGAGAACACGTCCTCCTGCTACTCCCCCTTCTACATCACCATCTTCTCCTCTTCTTCTTCTTCTTTCTTCCTTCATCTTTTTCTCCTCCTTTGTCCGCTTCTTCGAGAGAGAGAGAGAGACTGCCGCCGCCTCCTCTTCTTCCTCTTCTTCGTCTTTTTCTTTCCCTGCTCCTCCTCCACTGCCTCCCACCTCCCTCAGTCACAAACAACCATAGCCAACGATTTTTCTCCTTCAGAACTTCTTCTCCTCCTTTTTCTTCTTCTGCCTCTTCCTCTCCTTCTCCTCCTCTCCTTCTCCCCCCGCGAGTCATAGGCATAGCGAACTTTTTTTTTTGCCATCTTTAATTCCTTCTCCTCCTCCTCTCCCTTGTCCTCCCACATCCCCCAGTCACAGACAACCATAGCCAACGTATTTGTTTACCACCCTCCAAAGTTCCTGCAATCAGACTCCACTTATTCACACTTTTCATGCACGTGAACAGCAGAACAACAAACTGGCGACATGCGCCCACACAGAATCCAGAGATATGGCTTCCAGGCAACAGTTCCCTTCCTCTGGCTATGGCGACTGAGCGCCTCAAACAGCTCACTGTTCACACTCTGGATCACCCTGGATATCCCACACGCGATACTCAGCACACACACGCAGTACACACACACTTCCCCTAAGCTACAGCTATGGCGG